GCATGCGGCTAACGTGTTCAATTGGAATCATATCTTTTTCTTTCCCCCGAAGATGACCAGTGAGTAGCCCTCCCCTCCCGCGCATTTGTTGCACATGATGTCATTCGTTGGCCTTTCCTATGGTTCTTCTGATCGGACCATATTCGGTGTCTCAGCATGATGCTGCTGCTGCTGCAGCGCTGGCCTAGGATCCGCGCCTCACCCCCGTCGTTCAGATTTTCGCTCTCGCCCCAGCGCGGGCCACTTTTCTGGATCCGAGCCCTTCATCAGCGTTGTCGCCCCCCTCCTTTCCCCTGCTCCTCCTCCTCCTCCTCCTTCCCCTCGTCCTCCTGCTCCTTCCTTCCTTCCTTCCACTCCAGTTCTCGCTGCTGCTGTTCGTCATTGTCCTCTTTCCTCATCCTCCTCCTCCTCCTTCTCCTCGTCCTCCTCCTTTTCCTCCTGATCATCCGCCACCTCCGCCTCCTCCGCCTCCTGGTGTACGGATTATGTACGTAGCTTCCCTTTTCCTCATCGCGCACAACACGACGGGGGTCTTCACGGGAGTTCCAAGTCCGCTATGGCTTGCGCCCGTGGATGAGGACAAATCCAGCGCAATGGGAAGGGATGGGTGGGAGGGGTAGGATCACCTAGCTTGTCCATCCCGCCTCCCTCTGGGTCAGGGTAAGGCTCCAGGCATCGATCCCACTTGATAGGGCAGGTCGGCCAGTGGGGAGGGCGTTGCTTGTCCAGGCTCACCTTTCCCTTCTCCCCCGTCTTCCCGTCTCCCTTCTTCTCCTTTTTTGCCCTTCATCATTCTTAAGGAGCAGCAGAGGGCGGCCGGCTCGATCCGATTCGATTCCGATATTCCGACGATCCGATGCGGCCCGATGCTTGCGTGCCGACCCCGTGCCGATATATCCGACGCACATCCCGATCCGATCCGACTTCCCGTCTCGGTGCTGACTGATCTTGCCCTCCCCCCATCTTCCCCCCCTTCTCCGAGGCGGGGATGTATGCCTGACCACCGCCTGGTGGATTGATCGTTATTCGGGGGCCTCGTCAGGCGGTGCATATCGATCTATTTGGGCCTCGGGGGGGCCGGCCACATACATCCACATCCACCGCCCGCCGAGGTCCTTGGGGATGGATCCCCCAGGCGGCGGTTACGGATAACTCCCCGCCTCCCATTGGAGCAGCAGAGCAGGGCGGCGGACCCGCCCTACTTCCTGCAGCGCCTCGCGCCCCCCCTCCCACCGCCCCCTTCGGATGCAACTCCTGGGAGGTCTAATTCGAGGTCTAATTCTGATTTTTCCCTGGTCCGACATCCAGCTTAATCCGATTTGATCCCGCTCAATCAGGCTTAATCTCGCTGAATCCCGCTTGATCCGGCTAAATGCCGCTCAATCCAAGGCCCAATCCGGCGCAACAGCCCACCAATGGGGCTTCTGGCGAAAAACCTCCCAGTAGTTGCCTCCTAAACCCCCTCCCCCCGACGACAGTCTACGCGCGCTCGCCTCCCCCCTTCACCCCCCCTAGCCCTTGTCCCAGGCGGTTGCCCGAGCGGCGCCGCAGGTGCGCGTCCTTTTGTCGGAGGAGCAAGAAGTCATGATACTGGTAAGCTCAAGGGCTTCCAGGATTCCCAAGGCTTTCACGGTTTCCTCTTGGTCCGCGCTGGCTCCAGAAACGAGGGCCGCTAGACTCGACCTTTCCCCCTTCCCCGGCGCACGTGAGGTGCGTGCTCGGTGCCCAGAGGTATTCCGAAGTGCTCGGAGTTTTTCTGAGGTTTTCGGGGCCTGAGTTGGTCTCCATCGGCTGCGCTTTGTCGCGGGCGTGGCGTTCTGGGGATGTCTGCCGGCATCGTCCCAAACGGCCGCCTGAGGCCCGAAAGCCAGTTGTATTCGGACATCCAACGCCTCGACAACATCGAAGCGGCCGGTGTGCCGCCATGTTTGGCATCACGGAGGCCAGATTCGGGCCTGGGCACCGTCAAAGAACGACTAGAGACGAACAGCCTGCCCTGGGGAAGGGATCGAGAGGTCCTGCAGTGGCGTCGAGAAAATCGAAGCGGCTGATGTCTCTGCTTTGCGGCGTGAGGGCTGCGCCAAAATGGACGTCGGGCGCACGCGGACTCTGCCGCTGGGGCCTTCGGTGGATCTCCCTATGGGGCCACGAGCCGTGTGCAGGGTCTGCAGAAATTGACGCCGGGCGCCTGCGTACCCTGCCACTTGGGCCCTCGGTGCAGTTCCCTATGGGGCCACGAACCGTGTTATGGGTGTGCCGAAATGGGCCTCGGGCGCATGCGGACCCCAACTGGGGCCTTTTGTGGAGCTCCATCTGGGGCCACGAACCGTGTGAAGGGGGATGCCGAAATGGTTGACATGCGCATGCGGAGGGCAGAGGCAGGGATGGGAGGAGGGAGGAGGGGGAGGAGGAGGAGAGGAGGAGGAGCTGGGACGCGGGGCGCTGTCTCCTTAAAACGAGGACTCAATACCACAGGATGGTTGGGAAAAGCACCCTGTGCAGATTTAAGAAGAATCAAGCTGATGATGATGATGATGATGATGATGATGATGATGATGATGTTGATGATGGTGCTGATGCTGATGCTGATGCTGTTGCTGATGCCGATGATGCTGATGATGCTGATGATGATGGTGGTGGTGATGGTGATGATGATGATGGTGATTGCGATGGTGACGACGATGGTGATACTGATGATGGGATTGAGGATGATGGTGATGATGATGATGATGATGATGATGATGATGGTAATGCTGATGCTGATGATGGCGATCATGATGATGATGATGCTGAGGCTGCTGATGATGATGCTGATGCTGAGGCTGCTGATGGTGCTGCTGCTGCTGCTGCTGCTGCTGATGATGATGATGATGATGATGATGATGATGATGATGATGATACTGAGAGTGATGATGATGATGCTGCTGATGATGATGATGGTGATGATGATGATGATGATGATGATGATGCTGATGCTGATGCTGATGATGCTGATGATGCAGATTATGATGCAGATACTGATTGCGATGTTGATGATGTGGATGAGGATGTGGATGATGGCGATGGCGATTGTGATGACGATGGAGAAGATGATGCCAACCGTGATGGCGGCACGCGGAGAGCAGAGGCAGAAATGGGAGTAGGGAGGAGAGAAGAGGGGTGAGCAGGGATGGACGCAGGGCATTGTCTTTTTCAAAACAAGGAGCCAACACCACATGATGGTTGGGGAACACAATAGTCTTAATATGCTCGTCGTGTTTGTCATTGTGATCGTGATTGTGATTCTGATTGTTGCTGTTGTTACAGTATTGATGGCAAGGGAGAGGATGATCAAGGTTCTGGGACCGTCCTGGCGAAAATGAAAGGGGGAGTGTCCACGTTTTTGCACTGCTTGCCCTCCTGTCGGGCCCCGTCCAGAGGCTTCCGGGGTCCTCCAGGGGCGGGGCCAGGGAGGGTGGAGAGTATTCACAGTGACACAAAGAGGAGGAGGAGAAGGAGGAGGAGGAGGCGGAGGCGGAGGAGGAAGAGGAGGATGGAGGATGGAGGATGGAGGAACAGGATTACAGAGGAGGTCGAGGAGGGGGATCGTCTACTATGCTTCACCGCCCAGAACCCCAGACCCCAGACAGCTGGCGCTCCGATTTTGTCATGTTGATGCGTGTGTCCCTGGACCTCTGAAAGAGCGCGTTCTGTGGTCGCTTGGAGGGAGGAGGGGGTTGAAACTGGACCCCCTCCCCCCCTCCCCTGGATGGAGGGGGGGGAATTCGAACCCCCCCCCTCCCTCCTGTGACGGGGGGGGATTCGAACCCTCCCCCCCCCTCTGCTTCCCCTCTCCTCGGGCCGGTGGTGCTGTCGGTGGTGGTGGTGGTGGTGGTGGTGGTGGTGGTGTGGTGGTTTGAAGTGGTGGTGGTGGTGGGTTGTGCTGCTGGTAGTGGTGGTGGTTGTGGCGGTGGTGGTGGTGTTGTTGTAGACTGGGGGTTGTAGTAGTGTTGGTGGGTTTTTGTGGTGGTGGTTGTGGTGCTGGTGAGTTGTGGTGGTGGTGGTTGTGGTGGTGTGGTGGTGGTGGTGTTGGTGGTGGTGGGTTGTGGTGGTGGCGGTGGTTTGTGGACGTTTGTTGTGGTGGTGGTGGCGGCGGTGGTGTGGTGGTTTGTGGTGGTGGTGGTGGTGGTGGGTTGTGCTGCTGGTAGTGGTGGTGGTGGTGGCGGTGGTGGTGGTGGTGTGGTAGATTGTGGTGGTGGTGGTGGTGGTGGTGGTAGTGGTGGTGGGTTTTTGTTGTGTTGGTGGTGGTGATGGTGAGTTGTGGTGGTGGTTGTGGTGGTGGTGGCGGCTGTGGTGTTGGTGCGGGTTGTGTGGTGCTGTTGGTGGTGGTGGTGGTGGTGGTGGTGGCGGGTTGAGGCGGTGGTGGAGGTGGTGGTGTTCGTGCCAGCGGTGGTAAGTGTCGCTGCGTCCCCGCCGTCGCCAGCGCCAGCCTCGGCGCTACTGGCCGCCGCCTTCGCCGGCGCCGGCGCGAGGGGGGGGGAGGTTGAACCCCCCCCCTGGGCTGCCTCTGGTCATCGTCGCTGCGTCCCCGCCATGGGCGCTGCTGGTGGCCACCAGCGCCGGGCCGGCGCCGGCGCCGAGGGGGGGGGGTGTTTGAACCCGCCCCCCCTTGGGAGGGCAGGACAGGGGTTTGACCCCCCCCCTTGGGAGGGGGGGTCGAGGGGGTTCGGGAGGGGGTGGGATTGGGGGGAAGGGGAGCCCCTCTGGTTTTGATCGATGGCGTGTTTGGGGGGGGCCCAACCCCCGCTCGAATCGCGCCGCCGAATGTTTCCCAGGCGCGCGCCCGTGAAACGCGTTCTCTCGGACCTTTCGACCCTTTCCCGACGGCATGATTTTTGCCTTGAGCCTTGGGTCGTGTTCGGATGCCCCTGAGGCCTCAAAATGGCCTCCGGAGGCCGGAGGCCAACAAAAGGTTATAAGCCGGCCGCCTCAACTGCTTGGAGGCGCTGGATGCCTGGGGGATGTGGCGCACAGGGGGCAGCCGGAAAAGAAAATCATGGCGGCCTCCAGCGTGCGCGCCTGGGGAGGGCGACCCTCACGACGGCGACCGCGGCAACCGCGCCAGCGCGCCTCCGCCCGCGGGACCTCGGGGCGCCTGTGTGCGCTGAAAGGAGCCATGGCCCTCCCCCATCGGGGAAGCCCAGACTGGGTTCAGCGCGAAGCGAGGGTCAGCCAGTCCCCTCTGGTGCCCCATGGCTGGCTCGAGTCTGGAGGCCGCGAGGAGCCGCCCACCCGTCCCCGCCCTCCGCTGGCCTGGGATTGGAAGCTACTTCGGGGTCGGGTAGGGGGTTGCGACGTGGCCCTGGCTGGCCCAGGTTCGCGCTGACCCGGGTCAGCGCGTCTCCGACCCCCCCCCCTCGTCGTCCTCGATGTTTGGGTTTCGAAACTTGCTGCGTGTAGCTGGTTTCGGCCCCGCCGCCAGGCGCCTCCGACGGTGGGAAAACTGGCTGCGTGCAGCTGATGCGCTGACCCCTCCTTTGCTATCGACTCGTTGTGAATTCTTTAAGAACAGGTCAGCCAACCTTTATTACAGTCTGAATTTTGCTTGACCCAACAGTTTCCCATTGTGATTACCATACATATCAAATTGCTTAATGTGCTCGTACCTCATGCCTCATACTTGGACAATGTCGTGTCAATGTCTGCGGACAAAACACACCATTTGGAGACTCCAGTAAAAGAAGGTATGTTAAGCATGCCAGGATTGGGAGCAGGCCGCCGCAAGAGCCAGAACCAATGTTCGAAGCTGCTGGCGCACTCGCATTGCGACAACACCAGTTTACAGAATTCATGGAGGCAGTCGCTGACCAACTCCTGACCGCCAAGGGCTCCGACACGATCTTGAGCCACCACTTCGACCCCATGAAGCACGACATCAAGCTGTCAAAGCACATCGTGTCTCACAGAAAGATTCAAATTTCGCTGTGAACCCGATGACAAGCGGTCCACGACTTGACAACACGAGTGGTTTTCCTGTAAACTAGTTACACGTCCTAGCCGTCTCCGGCAAGATCGGCCCCTGGAGCAGCCCGGGATGCCGATACGCACACGAAGCTGGTAAAATTTGAAGTTTCAGTTGCCCGTCTCCTTGAACCTGGCAGCGGCCTTGCCTGTTTTCGTGCTTCCAACGGCCCTGACGCCAAGTGTTCTGTGACAGCAGTTATTGATATGCCTGATGGCTTTGATGTGCCCAACACGACTTCAGCATGGACACGGGACACGTAGATTGGGCGCGATGGCGCGATGTCTCCATTCCACATTACATGTGCATGAAGGTAATCTTCAGTTTCGTAATATTTCCAAAGTATTCGATTATTACTGGCCGTGACACAGCCGTGGCCCGTATCAGGAGCTCCCGTCCTCAACGCAAGTGTGAAGATCTGCGGGCCTCTCCTGACCGTCCGCCAGCGGATTGCGCAACGCACAATATGTACTTCGGGTTCAGATATTTGTCACAGGATACGTTCACAGCCCCTAACATCATCAATATCACTGACGCCTCTCCGCGCGAGGTCACGGTCGGTGGATCAGCGTCTCTCATCGTAACCGTGGACGGAACGAGCGTGCAGAGGTCACGGTCCGGAGCGTTGGGACGTAGAAAAGAATTTCAAGGCCACAAATGAGATGATTTCACAAAGCTGACGGAAAGGGCGCGAACGGGCAGCCCACAGGGCAATCGGAAACAAGGCATGTTTCAGCTTGGGTTCGTCTTGGCGTTCGAGCCGTTTGAACGGAGCATTTGTTCCACATGAGATCCCCAATTGTTGGCGCATCTTGTGCAAAGTTACCGGTGCACCTACAACCTCGGAGCCTCTTTCATCTAATTCCCAACCATCCTGTGGTGTTGCGTCCTTGTTTTGAAGAGACACCGCCCCGCGGTCCTTCCTTCGTCCTCTCCTCCTCCTCATCCTCATCATCATCATCATCATCATCATCCTCTCTCTTGCCTCCTCCATCCTCCCTTCTCCCTCCCTTGCGTCTGCCTTCCGCATGCATCTGTTTCAGCACACACCTTACATGTTTCATGGCCCCACAGGGAGCTCCACCGCAGGCCCCAGGGGCAAAGTTCGAATTGCGGCCCCGCCTCGCTTCGGCGCAGCCCTCACACATTTCGTGGCCCCATAGGGAGCTCCACCGAAAGCCCCAGTGGCAAATGGCGGCCCCGCCCCATTCGGCGCACCGAAGGCTCCGTTGTCAAAGCTCGCATGGCGGTTCCGTCCCACGTCGGCGCACCCCGCACATGCTTCGTGGCCTCATAGGGAGCTCCACCGAAGGACCCAGTGGCAAAGCTCGCATGACGGCCCCGCCTCATTTCGGCGCACCCCTCACACGTCTCGTGGCCCCATAGGGAGCGCCACCGAAGGCCCCAGTGGCACAGTTCGCGTAGCAGTCCTGCTCAATTTCGGCGCACCCCTCACACGTCTCGTGGCCCCATAGGGAGCTCCACCGAAAGCCCCAGTGGCAAACTTCGCATATGGCGACACCGCCCCAGTTCGGCACACCCCTCCTGCGTTTCGTGGCCCCACAGGGAACTCCACCGAAGGTGGGGCTCACAACTGCGGTATTCACAAATGCATATGGCTAGGTTATTCGTCAGGATGTGTTTCTACACATTCTGCCACCGTCGCTTCTTTTAACAATTATGCGCCAGGCATGGGCGAAGACGGCATGCCACAGAGAGGCTGAACGGTCATTCGTTGTCCTTGGGCGCGTGGCTGAACTGGGGTTCCACGGTGAGGATTGTCGTTGCGCTGTTGTGTTAAATTCCGTTGTTTGGGAATAAGCATCGTTGATCCCCCCTGCTCGGTGCACACCCTGTTTTTGCAATCTACGTGCTCTTTTGGGGCTCGCACCCTGTTATGATCAGGGAAGATAGTAGTCCTAAAGTTGCGCCCTTGGCTTTCGGTTTACACCAACAGCGGCTCCCGACGATCAGCTTTTCCAATTTGTTTTTCGGACTCGCGCTCTCGCGCTGGACTTCCCCACAATGTATACAGGAATCGCGTTTTCGCGTGGCACTCCCTTACAATGCATTGCGGCGCAGGGTCCACCCGCCCGACCCGCCCGTCTGGTCTTGCCGTTTGCGCTCCTGTTCCTAACCCTCCTCTTACTCATCTCTCTCGTGCTCCATCCTTTTCCCTCCCTTATTTGTTGTTTCCCTCCTCCGTTCCCTCCCCCTGTTTTAGCGGCTGCGCCAACTACACGCGGCATGTCCGGAAGATATACCCCGGAGGGGGTATGACCGAATACCAAGAGGGCGGGTATCGAGGGTTTCGGATATTTGTGTTGAGTTGGCACGCGAGCAAATAAGAGCGAACAGTCTTAAAGTGATTGTTGTTGATCTTGTCTTCTCCCGCGACCCGATCGCGACCAACCCGCGATCCACCCAGCGGCCCACCCCGCGACCCAGCCGCGACCCATCCCGCGCCCACCCTTTCACCCGCAACCGCAATTGCAGGATGCTGCGTCACATACATATTGGGTCCTTGTTTTCATTTCCGGGAATTCCCTATTCATCTTGTTCCTCTCCACCACCACTGGGCACTTCAATCTGTCAGACAATTTATTCAGTCTTCCACATCCAATCGTACATGGATTGAGCTTCGACGTGGAAGCGAATCTCTTGGTACCCAATCTTTTGGTAGTTGGAATGTTGAGGGCCTCCGCGGAGACTGGCTCGTCAAATCGGCGGGTCGGCAGAATCACCGAAGGCACTTGTTGCTCAGAGTATCGACATTTTGGGTTTGCGGGTAACTCAGCTTCATGAGTCATATTACGTTGAATACGATACTTTGTTGGTTTAACCGCCTGGCAAAACAAACACTCTCGGTTGAGAGAGTGGGTGTTCTCGTGACCCCACGGGCCCATTTTGCTGCGGTTATTTCCCCGGCGATCTTACCGCGTCTGGTTTCATAGTGAGCCGGGGTTCAACATGGTGCATTGACCATCGTATTCTTTCCGAGTTGGTACGGTTGCGAAATCCCCAATCGTTCTTCGCAGACCTGTTAGGGACAGTACGGCCGACAGCCCAACACAGCACGACCATGTTTCTGGATGATCTTAAAGCTAAGTTGTTCCAGCGACGGCCCCGCGGAAGAACAGACATTGGCGAACATATTGTTGTGACAGGTGGTCAGCGTAGTTCTTTACACATGCATCATCTATCGAACTGTGACCTTTCACTTGAGCATTGCGTGGTCACAGACATGGCCATCGCGAATACTTTGGTCGACCCTCCTCCTGGACAGCGAGTCGCGTACAGAAATCGTGGTGCACGTCCCACTGGTCCCGACACAACCATTGGACAGCTTTCCCAGGTCGACCATGTTTTCTGTCACACGTTGATTTCTCCGTGGGTCAGACTCTGCACATCACGCCAGCCCGTAGCTCTCAACAGCCACCATTATTTGACGGTTGCCGCGGTCGAGATACAGTTTCAAATTGAGATTGCATGTGCGTGCAATGTTGTTGACAAGGCTTCGGCGTTGATCAACACAACCCAGAAGGATTTCATACGTGGTTGTTTATTTTGGCAGCCCATCTTTCTGTCGCAAATAGTTTCTTCCACTAAATGGCAAACCCAATGGACAATACGTCCGCCACAGCATCCAGCGCACTAAAGACCAGGCAGCAATTTTCGCACAGGCCGTGAATTTCTCAAAATGTTTCTGGAGTTCAATGAAAAGCGAAATTCTTCACGACGGAATAGGAGTGCCAACGAATAGCGCGCCAGTAACAGTTTTATTCGGAAAGTGTCACGCGTGGACCGCACAAATTGGATGAGTCAGACGTCGGTAAGGCGCGTCAAGCAAACCGTGTTAAAGTAAGGTGTGTGAATTATTAGCTTGCTGATATCGCTGTCCTAACCATTATCTAATATTTTAATTGTTTGAAGCAGTCCAATGGGCAGTGCAGTTTGCAGGCAAAGCGTAAACAATCTTGAACGTATTGGGTGTTGAGTTGCCCGTGGTTGTGTCCAAGTTCAGGATGGTTGAGTTACAATACGTGGTAACGAAAAGAAGGATCGGAAAGCAGTTGGCCCGGATCATGTACAATCGGGTGTGTAGAGGTTGTATGCCGACATGGGGGTGCATGTGAGGCAATATTGAGAGCGTGCCGAACAATAGCAGAACACCATGATTGCACCAGACTTGTAGCGGATAGCCAATACCATTATGTTTTTTGAAGAAACAGACTGTCACTGCACCTTGTGAGTATCGTCCATTCGCATACATGTATGTCGTTCCAAAGCCATGCGGCAATACTACACCAACGACTATCACGAGTAGGGGCGAAAGCGCGCAAGAGGCATTCTCAGTTTGGATTTCGCCATTGCCGTTGTGTGGCCGACGCACTTTTGTTGTTGAGGCGTAGGATCACGCAGCGCTGGTTAGCAACAGCGATGGTCTTATTGCATGTTTTCTTGATCGTGTAAAGGTTGTCGCCACTCTAAGGCCTGATTGTACCTGCGCTGCTGTGGCCCGCCTTGGACTACCGCCACCTATGGTCGATATGCTAAACAGTAAAGATTCCCATCGCTAGTCCAGTATTGCCGACCACGGTGGGAAGTAGCCAGAATGTCACCAAGCAGCCAGCATTGCATAAGGTTTATGTTTCTCGCCACGTCCAGTTACCATAGTGTACACAGTCATGCTACATAACGTGTTTGGTGATCTGCATATCGGCCCAGAACCCAATTTTGTTATTACACAGAATGTTGTCTGCAGATAGCCCCGGGCTTGTATCCCAAGACGCTGGGAGTCTACAGCGCAGTATGGAAACATGTGTGCTGGAAGGGCAGAACTACGACCTTGAGCTCAACGCGTGTAAATGGGCACATCTATAAGTATCCACCAGCCGTTGTGTCAAACACCTGGACGGTGATCCGATCGGTACCTTGGAGCAAATTGATAATGTTGTGGGAGTGATAATTTATAGTGGCCGCGTGCGAAGCGAGCTTTCAAGGCGGTTGTGAGAAGCCAGTTGCAAAATCTGAATGGTTCAAACATGGAAACACACTAGGATCGGAAGTAATTGAATTCTTCATCCATGCGTGCTGAGGAAACTTGCATAAGCGTGTAATTCGTTGGGGCTCTCGAACAAGTGCTACGACCAGTTGGGCGCCGCACATTGGAAGAATTTGCGGAAAGTGATGAGGACAACGCTTTCTTGTTTCCCAGGTTTGCGAATATTTTTGTGTTTCGCAAAACCTGCCCCGAACTTTCGAACGCAATTTTACGCGGTCGGCAAACATATTTTACATTCGAACACCGCTTCTCGTACCGACGCGTCGCCCTTTAAACACTTAGTGTGCGAAGCCGACGGTGCCCCTAGGACCAGGGCCCTACGCAAGCGCCAGGGCCACTCGAGACAACAATGGCCCATGCCATTTTTTCAAGCTGTTGTAACATGCTCCTTTGCCCCCTTTCTCTCCCTCCCCTCTCCCTCCTTTTCTTTTCCGTGCCTGTGCTGTTGTTTTTTCCGTTGGATGCTGTGTCGGTCCATTTGCCCGCGCGTCCGCCAGGGGTACACGATTACATTCAGTCAGTTCCCTTCCGCCTGCCCCGAGGGGTGGGCCCAGACCTCCGACGCCAGCCATCCCTGCCAACTGGTCAACTGCCCCCCCCCCTTGCAGGACCGCACGGTGACCCAGAAGAGCAGTGCTGCTGCCTCCCCCCGCGTGCCTGCTGGGATGGTTCCGCTTGCGGCGTGTGCCCGGGCGCGCTGACGGCCGTCGTCGGGAGGAGGGTGACGACAAGACGACAGCGACACGGGGCGGACAACCCTAAGGGGAGCATTGCATGGTATTCAGTCAGGGGTCTCTACCGACCATGTCAATGTATTCCACGAGGCTGGCGAATACACGCGATGCCCACCCTGGGCGATCCACTGTTGTTGCAACCGCTTGAAGAGGAGGAAAACGAGGAGAAGGAGGAGGAGGAGGAGGAGGAGGAGGGGGAGGACGAGCAGGAGGAGGAGGAGGAAGGAGAGGGCGGAGGGGAGGAGGAGGATGTTTACTGCAGGTTCGAGTCGTGTCGACGCGGCGGCGATTCCAGAGCGGGCGTTCAAGGTTGAGCGCCGCCTGTGGCCATGAATCGGTTGATATCGAACGATCTTGCGCGATCGGAAAGCCGCAATCGTTCAAGGTTACATGATCCACGCGGTGTTCGAAACCATCGCGCACGTTTTCACGGCATGAACTTGCCGTAGAGGAATACGAGAATCGAAGAACAACGAACTACGTACACGCAGCCCTTGCGAGGTTTGTGCGCTTCTTGGAGATCGGCGTTGGCCTTACCATCCTTGCGGCGTCTCCAGCGCCGCCCATGGCGCATTCCGCGCGCCAAGGAGGGGGGGTACAGCGCCAGTCCAAGAGATCCGGGTTAACTTCCGCACGTCTATGTTTGGTATTTTTTCGTTTTCGAGATGAGGAGGGGGAGGGGCGGGTACAAGCCAGAGGAGGAGGAGGAGGAGGAGAAGGATGAAGAGGAGGAGGAGGAGAAGGATGAAGAGGAGGAGGAGGAGGAAGTGAGGATGAAGAGGAGGAGGCAGCTCTTTTATTTTGTGACTGTTGTGATTAACCCTATGCCTCAAGCATCCACCCTCAGGGGATAATAACGTTCGCGGTTGCGGGAGGGAATGGGGTAGTACAAGATTTGTCCGGCAAGTCCCATGTACGGACGTACCTCGTATGGATGTACGGATGTACGGATGTACAAATTGTAAGGTTAGTTGTAATGGTAGTAGTAGTAGTAGTCGTAGTAGTAGTAGTAGTAGTAGTAGTAGTAGTAGTAGTAGTAGTACTGTAGTGGTAGAATTAGTACGAGTAGTCTTAGTAGGCGTATTATTAATATTATTTGTTTGATTATTATTAGTCGTAGTAGTAGTAGCAGTACTAGTCGTAGTTCTAGTAGTCGTAGTAGTAGTAGTAGTAGTAGTAGTAGTCGTAGTCGTAGTCGTAGCCGAATATTGTGGTAGTAGTCGTAGTAGTAGTTTTTGTACTATTACCAGTAGTAGCAGAAGAAGAAGAAGAGAAAACATCCATAGTAGTAGTAGTAGTAGCAGTAGTAGTAGTAGCGGTAGCTGTAGTAGTAGTGGTAGCCGTAGTAGTAGTAGTAGTAGTAGTAGCAGTAGTAGTAGTAGTAGTAGTTGTTGTTGTAGTGTTAGTAGTGCTAGTTGTTCTTGTCGTAGTATGCACGGTAGTAGGAGTAGCACAGGGAGTCGTAGTCGTAGTAGTAGCAGTAGTAGCCGTGTTGGCAGTAGTAGTAGTAGTTTTAGTGGTAGTTGTAGTAGTAGTGGTAGTTGTAGTAGTAGTAGTAGTAGCAGTAGTAGTAGTAGTAGTAGTAGTAGTACTAGTAGTAGTAGCACTAGTAGTAGAAGTCGTAGTCGTAGTCGTAGTCGCAGCAGTAGTTGAAGCATTCGTAACTGTAGTGTAGTAGTGGTGGTAGTTGTAGTCTTAAGAGTAGTAGTCGTCGTGGTGATTGTTTTAGTAGTGATTGTTGTAGCGGTAGTATTCGTAGTAGTAGTAGTCGTAGTAGTAGCAGTAGCGTTCGTGGTAGTAGTCCGAGTAGTAGTAGTAGTAGCAGTAGTAGTAGTAGTAGTAGTAGTAGTAGTCGTCGTCGTGGTCGTAGTAGTGGTAGTAGTGGTGGTAATAGTAGTAGTGGTAGTAGTAGTAGTAGTCCTAGTGGAGGTCTTAGTTGTGGTAGTCGTCGTCGTCTCATTAACATTGGGAGTCGTAATAATATTCGTAGCCGTAGTAGTAGTACGAGTAGTGGTAGTCGTAGTAGTAGTCGTCGTCGTCGTCGCAATATGAGTAGTAGCGGTAGCAGTCCGGGCAGTAGTTGTATAGTAGCAGTGGTGGTAGTAGTCGAGTAGTAGTCGTAGCGGTGGTAGTAGTGGGAGTAGTAGTCGGACTACGAGTAGTAGTATTAGTAGTCGTAGAAGCGGTTGTTGTTGCAGGTGGAGTTGTATTCATATTGGTAGTAGTAGTTGTAGTCGTCGTCGCCGTACTAGCAGTAGTCGTAGTAGTCGTAATGGTAGTCTGAGTGGTAGTCGCCGTAGTAGTAGTAGTAGTAGTGGTAGTAGTAGTAGTAGTACCCGTAGTAGCAGCAGTGGTAGGCGTAAAAGAAGTAGTGGTAGTAGTCGTAGTAGTACTAATACGCGCAGTGGCATTATCGGGAGTAGTAGTCGTGTAGCAGTAGCAGTAGAAGAAGGAGTCGTTGTCGCATCGTAGTAGTAGTAGTGGTAAATGTAGTAGTAGTAGTAGTAGTAGTAGTAGTAGTAGTAGTAGGTAGCGCCGTGCCCGTCCGGGCCGTGTGGTAGTGAACCGCCGCTGTCCTGAAGATGTGTCGTTGTCTTTGTCTTTCTTTGGCACTGCAGTATATGTTTTAGAGGCTTGCGTGGCCGATGTGGGATCCCAGAACATAAATTTACCTTAAGAGTTTGACACTCTGTTTTCGGTTTTAAGTTGCCCCCCGTCCATACGATCGACCATGATGGAAGCGAACGCCGTCTCCGTCCGGGCCAGCCGTGCTCGATTCCGAAGATATTGCGTTGTTGTGCATTGCTTTGCTTTGCATTATTTTGCATTGCTTGCATTTGGGTTGCTCAATAGATGTCTGCTGAGTTTGCACTGGGAGCTTACATCATGATGGTGATGCTGAAAAAGGTGATGATAATGAGGATGATGGTGATGATGACGATGATGACGATGATGATGGTGGTCATGGTGGCGATTAGTATGATGACGATGCTGCGGATGATGATGATGACGATGATGATGATGTTGATGTATGACGATCATGATGATGTTGATTACGACGATGATGACGATCATGCTGATGGAGGCGATGATTACGATTATGATTGTGATCATGATGCTGGTGATGATTGTGATGATGCTGGTGATGATCACGATTCATGACGATGATGGTGGTGATGCTGATGATGACGACGATGAAGATGATTTTGATGACGATCATTATTAGGAGGATGATGTTTATGACGATTCTGATGATGACTATGATGAGGATTCGGTAGGATTCCTTCGGGTTCCTTGGGATTCCTAAGGATTCCTTAGGATTCGCTAGCATTTCTTAGGATGCCTTTCGGATTCGCTAGGATTCCTTCAGGATTTCCTTAGGATTCCCTCCGGATTCCTATGCGCTCATACACTTCAAGGATTCCTGAGGCGCGCAAGCGCGAACCCGGACGGGAACGGCGCGCGGTCTGCGCAAGGATTCTTTAGGATTCCACTCGGATTCGCTGAGGATTCGGTGGGATTCCTGAGGATTCTTTCGGATTCCTTCGGTTTCGCTAGGTTTCTTCAGGATTCCCTTCGGATTCGCTAGCATTCCTTTAGGATTCCCTTCGGATTCCCTCAGGATTCCTAGGCGCTTATACACTTCCGGGATTCCTGAGGCGCGCGAGCGCGAGCCCCGGACGGGAACGGCGCGCGGTCTGCGCAAGGATTCCTTCGGATTCCATTTGGGTTCGCTGGGGATTCGGTTGGATTCCTGAGGATTCCTTGGGATTCTTTATGATTCGCTAGCATTTCTTAGGATTCCCTTCGGATTCGCTAGCATTCCTTCAGGATTCCTTTCGGTTTCCTTTAGGATTCCTAGGCGCTTATATGCTTCAGGGATTCCTGAGGCGCGCAAGCGCGAAGCCGGGCGGGAACGGCGCGCGGTCTGCGCGAAGATTCTCTAGGATTCCATTCGGATTCGCTGAGGATCCGGTGGGGTTCTTTCAGTTTCCTTCGGGTTCCTTCGGATTCGCTAGGTTTCCTGGGGATCCCCGTCGGATTCGCTAGCATTTCAGGATTCCCTCAGGATTCCTTCAGGATTATTAGGCGCTTATGCATTTCAAGGATTCCTGAGGCGCGCGAGCGCGAACCCGGACGGGAACGGCGCGCGGTCGTCTGCGCAAGGATTCTTTAGGATTCCATTCGGATTCGCTGAGGATTCGGTAGGATTCCTGAGGATTCCTTCGGATTCTTTCGGATTCGCTAGGTTTCCTTAGGATTCCCTTCGGATTCGCTAGCATTCCTTCAGGATTCCCTTCGGATTCCTTCAGGGTTTCTAGGCGCTTATGCACTTCAGGGACTCCTGAGGCGCGCATGCGCGAACCCGGGCGGGAACGGCGTGCGGCATGCGCAAGGATTCCTTGGGATTCCATTCGGATTCGCTGAGGATTCGGTAGGATTCCTTAGGATTCCTTCGGGTTCGCTAGCATGTCTTAGGATTCCTTTCGGATTCGCTAGCTAGAATTCCCTTAGGATTCCCACAGGTTTCCTAAGCTCCTAGGCGCTTTTACATTTCAGTGATTCCTGAGGCGCGCAAGCGCGAACCAGGACGGGAACGGCGTGCGGTCTGCGCAAGGATTCTTTAGGATTCCATTTGGGTTCGCTCAGGATTCGGTGGGATTCCTGAGGATTCCTTCGGATTCCTTATGATTCGCTAGCATTGCTTAGGATTCCCTTTGGATTCGCTAGCATTCCTTCAGGATCCCCTTAGGATTCCTTCAGGATTCCCATGCTCCTAGGCGCTTATGCACTTCAGGGATTCCCGAGGCGCGCAAGCGCAAACCCGGACGGGAACGGCGCGCGGTCTGCGCAAGGATTCCTTGGGATCCCATTCGGATTCGCTGAGGATTCGATCGGATTCCTGAGGATTCCTTCGGATTCCTTCGGGTTCGCTGGGTTTCCTTCGGATTCCCTTCGGATTCGCTAG